ACTCCTTGCCTGATGGTGTTGTTGCCATAGCAGCCGACGTCTGCAATGCCAAGGTCATCGGCCATGAGGAGCACGATGTTCGGACGGGAGCCAGACACGTCGATACACACGCAGGGCCTCCCACCCAGGAGCACGGCGACAGTCACGGTCACAGCTAACCAGCTCCTGAAAGACAAGTTGCCCAAAGAATGTTTCACGCTGCTGCCCGTGTCATTCATGTGACTTCTGTAAGGGGAGATGCCCGGGTCACTATTTTAGGGGACTTTGATAGTATGGTCCCATTGCCACAGTTTGAGGACATCCCTTAGGAATTTGATTTTTTTTTCAGTTAAACACAACTCATGCCGTTACAGATGCCACCCAGGGTGTGCACCAGGGTGAGGACAATAGTGTCCTAACCCCCAGGTTCATGCCATTAAGGTGTCATCTGCATCTCTGGGGCTGGTGTGGGATATGAGCTCCCTGGAAAGGCACTCGCCTACCTAGCCCGTGGCAGGGCTTTGTGCCTAGCTGGGTGGAGAAGAATAACATGCAGTTCCTTCTGACACTGCCTGGGACGCTCCCACGGAGGGGACCACGAATATGTCTAGTAACTGTGAGAGCCATGCCCGGGTCCCCTGACATGTGCCCGGTGACGCGTGGAGGGAGACCAATCGGTTGTCAATGCATCCTGAGAAACCAACATGCAGGAACGCAGAGGGCCAAGGCCGCGCAGACGCGTAGCTTACCAAGGGCCTTCCAGGTGAGCCATGTCCTCTGTTTCCTTTTATTTCCTGGAAGAAACCAACAAGTCCGTAATCACATGTGAGGTCTGACAATTAAGTTTGCGAACTTGTTGCAACGATGTTGCTGACCTTTTCCGATATCAGAGGGAGGATTCATTATGAAGTTGTACCAACTGGACAAACAGGTGACCAAGTTTACTATTAGGACGTGCTGAAAAGGCTGCGTGAAAAAGTTAGACGACCTGAACTTTTTACCAACAATTCATGGCTCTTGCATCACGACAATGCACCAGCTCACACGGCGCTGTCTGTGAGGGAGTTTTTAGCCAGGAAACAAATAACTGTATTCGAACACCCTCCCTACTCACCCGAGCTGGCCCCCAGTGACTTCTTTCTTTACCCGAAGAGAAAGGAAATAGTGAAAGGAAGACATTTGACAGGTTCATCCATGGCTTCTTCGGGCTGGATAATATTCCATGGGACAGGTGGTCCTCATGCTGTTTAGGGCGTATGTATTTTAAACAAAAGGGATAAGAGTAGAGAGGCAGTGTGTGGGA